ATGATGGATATTTGCGGATTATTAGGCTCGAGATAAAAATGTATTAGTATTGACACATCTTCGCAGAAAGAAGGAAGCGTGGAAGCGGCTGGACGTGACACATATAAAGATAGTTTTATAGGTTTTTAGAGATGTTAATGCCAATTACCATGAAAATTTAAATTCAAAATGGCAAATTGATTATGTTTTTTCTGAATATATACGCACACGTTTGATTCTTAGCATTGTACATTTTTCTCGCAAGGTGCGCATCTGACATGACTCTTTTGGATGCTCGTCGCATGCGTTGTCTTATTTCGTGCACACTTTATTTATATTTACATATAAACTACATTGTATGTTACATATAAACAATTATATTTGTCACAAACGACTTCCGCGTGATTTGCCATCGGATAGTCAGAGTCGGGGTCCGAGTTCGGTAGGCGGTCGAAAATAAACGAGAGCGTTTATGAATAAAAAAGAACGAAAGTTTATTTCGTGTTACAGTGCGGATGTGTATATGTGTGTATGCGTAACGTGTCGCAAGCGCGGGTGTATGTATGTACGCGCCGCGCGTCGCAGGCGCGTATGTATGTGTGTAAACGCAGCGAATTGTGTGTGTCACGTGAGTGCAACGAAGTTGATGCGTGCGCGAAAGGCGTGTATTCGTCCATATGCAAATGGAATTTCGTGATGTTTAGATGTTGCAGCGTTAGGCCACGTTTCAATATATCTCGAAACGTACGTGTAAGACTCGTATACTGCGGTGTTTGCAATTTAGCGCGATCAATGACCGTTTGACGTAGCGCATGTCTCGTTTTTGTCGCGCGTCTGGGCTAGCCCCGTTTTTACGCGGATCATAAGCGTATGTTTTCTCGGAAATTTATGAGTAATTCCTGATTGAGATAAGATGTTTCCGGGAACGTCGTGCCGACGAGAACGTCTCGTCCGAGGTAGCTCTCCTCTCTACCTCGTCGTTATTATGCAACAGTGTTAGGCGGTCGGATATTCGGACCGAGATTTTGAGATCTCTCGATTGAACTCCGGTTCAATCGAGAGATCTCAGTTCGCTCTGGTTCTTTTCTTTCAGTCGGAGAGCGGTCAGAGAGTATCAAGAATTGAGAGAGCTCGATAGAGGAAGAGTTCTCTCCACCTCTGGATCATGAGTGTTGGCTATTTCTTTAGAAGCGGTTTAGGTTTCGGATACGTTTCATTTGCGTGAGCGGAATCAGAAAAGGTGATTAGCTCCAAATGTGTCCTCTTTATACTGGCTAATTGCCCGCGCCGGTGTGTGGCAGTACTACCCCTTCCAAACGGATTTTCGGAAACGGTGCGGTCGGGCCCATTCGGAGGGATTCGGGAGGTGCGCCGAACGCGGGTTTTCGCCGGTTGGCGGTTCGGATCACATCGGTTACGCTCGGCGGTGTTCGGCTAATTTTAGCCTAACGGCTTAAAGCCGTACGTGTCTTTAACTTAAAAAATGTGGGCGCCCCTGTCTATGCCCGGCGGGTGTTCTGCCGGACGACAGCTTTCAACGAATCGCATTGCCGGGAATAACGATGCTTTCGAGGAGGATGCAAGAAGTGTATCGTTACATATTTATCATAATAAAATTATCATATTAAAGTAATCACATTAGCGCATCAATTCCATGGTTTTTCGACATGATATACGGTTATTTTTCACTACCTGTGAAAGTTTGATTTTTTATAAAGTTTATGGCGTTTTCAAATAGTCGGATTTAATCACTCCTGGGTAGTTTACTAGACGTCATTGCCATTCTTAAGAAGAATATAATCATACATTCTTAAAAAAAATAGCTGTGATTAGTCAATAACATCTAGTAAACTTCTCCGGAGTGATTAAACCCGACCACTCGAAAACGCCATTAGATAACTATATTTTATTGCAAATATCAGAGTTAGGTAAGTTATGTTTTTTTAACTAAATTAAATTAAAATTAATAGCCTTGAAAATTTAACTTAGTTAAGATACAAGTTAACCCATAATAAAATTTGTTCAGGATTCGCCCTGAATTTAGAACTAAAATATCACCCCCCGTCATACTGGCGCCATTTTTGAGCCTAAATCGAACTCGCAAATATCTAATTCCGTACGGTTTTTTCGAAATCAGCCAGGATCCGCGTGATCGCGTAAGAATACATGATCCTGGCCAATTAGACACTCGAAACATTACGCGATTTGACGTGACAAACCGTGATAGGTTGAAATCGGATCATCCGATGCGCAATCGATTCCTTATTATTGGGAGAAAGGCTCTCTCCCGCGAAATAATTGCGGAGTCATTGTCGAGTCCTTATCAGAGTCATTACGGAATCATAGAGAGTCTTAGAAAGTGTGACGGACGACTTCCGCGAAAACGGTATCGGATAGTCGCAATCGGGATCAGGATTCGCGATTTCGGATAGGTAAGCTAAATGATCAGGCGCGGTGTTCAGAGAAAAAGAAAATGTCTCTATTAAAAAAAAGAGAAAAAGAATACAAAGATGTGGGCGCAGTATAAATGAATAAATTCAGGAGCGTGTGTGTATAATTGCCAGAACGTGTGCGCAAATGTGAGAACGTATATTTATAAGTGCGAGAATACATGTGTATAAACGCGAGAACCTGTGTACGCAAATGCGAGAACGCGTGCAGCGTGATTTTCGGTATGATTTTTGCGCGTGAGAATCAATCGAGGGCAACGGTATCCGGGGTACAATCGGTAGCTCGGTATTGTTTATATAAAAACGGTAGCTCGGTAACGTTTATGCGGTAATTCGGTATCGTTAGTATAGTAGTTCGGTAGAACGGTATCGTTTATATGTAATGCGGTAATATCGTCAATATATCGCAAAGTTCGGGAATCGGAATGCGTTTAAAGCCCGTCGTATATATCAGCGCGTCAGCTGTCTTGTTATTTTGATTGAGGACAATCCCTCACGAGTCGTGTATCTCGGCTCGTATAACGGTCTATTTGGAGATATTCGGATTTCGCTTTGGTTTAAATTAATCGTTTTCTAAACTTTTTTGCGGGGAATGGATGTCGCGGGATTCCGCCGTGCGAACGAGAACACTCGTCGGAGGCAGCTCGGCTCTCTACCTCCTGATATTTTGCAACGGCGGTATGGTGACGGGATGTGTTGCCGGGGTCGAGATTTCTCGACGGTGCCGGAGTACTCTCCAGCGCGGTTTTCCTTAGGCAGAGTAGTTTGAGTCTAGGAAGCGCGGCCCTAAGTCCGAAACTGAGAAAATCCAGCTGAGGCAGAGTACTCTCTACCTTTTGTTCGGGGCTCGGCTGGCTTTGCTTCTAGGAATTGATCGTGATCTGGATTATTGGCTTGGAGTAAGCGGAATCGGGATCTGTCCGTAGATTTACTCGAGGGCCCTTTTTATACCCCGGCTAATTAGTCTCGCGCCGGCGTACAAAACAGGTGCCCCCCACCGAGAAATTAAAAACGGTAACGGTACGAGATTTTTATCCGAGGTAAATCGGGCGCCTTCGGCTTTCCTCGATTCGGTTTTAATCCGTTCGAAATGTTTGAACTCTAACGGAAATTCGGCGCGGTGCGCCTCTGCCTTTGCTCGGCGGATCTTTTCCCGGGCGGTAGCTTCCAGGAATTCGTAACGTGCACTGGGGGTGCATCGTTACAAAAGTACAAGCAATCGAGAGCGAATCGGAAGTGAAAAGTTCGAGAATTTTCTAAGTATATTGCAAGTGAGACGTTAAAGTCGCGAGTGCATAAACTGGCTAGTCATTGTATAAAGTATCATGAATAATCAATTCGAATTCAGTTGAACCAATCGATTCCGTATCACATGTGAATATTCTGAGCACGAGTGCCGGGATTCATCGGAGCGCCTCCACTCTGAGTGAGAGGTGGAGCCTCTTTCTCATTGAGCCTCCGCTCATTCGTGTGTTCGTAACATAACGCGGTCTCGCTCACTCTCACAGATAGCCCGATAGAGCGCTGTCTCTCTCTATCTCACGCGAACCGTAGATAGTGCGGTCTCGCTCAATCTCGCGGACGGCCGCAATAACGCCGTCTCGCTCGCTCTCACGCAAACCGTGAATAGTGCGGTCGCGCTCAATCGCGGACGGCAGCAATAACGCCGTCTCGCTCGCTCTCACGCGAACCGTGAATAGTGCGGTCGCGCTCAATCTCGCGGACGGCAGCAATAACGCCGTCTCGCTCGCTCTTACGCGAATCGTGAATAGTGCGGTCGCGCTCAATCTCGCGGACGACCGCAATAACGCCGTCTCGCTCGCTCTCACGCGAACCATGAATAGTGCGGTCTCGTTCGCTCTCACAGACAGCCCGATAGAACGCTGTCTCTCTCTGTTTCGCGTCGAACCGTGGAAAGTGCAGTCTCATTCGCTCTCATAGACAGTCCGATAGAGCACTGTCTCTCTCAATTTCGTGCGTGCACCCGTGAACAGTGCGGTCTCGCTCGATCTCGCGAACGGCCGATAGAGCGCCGTCTCGCTCGCTCTCGCAGATAGCCGATGGAACGCTGTCTCTCTCAATTTCGTGCGTGCAACCGTGAATAGTGCGGTCTCGCTCGCTCTCACGCGGACGGCCGATAGAGCGCCGTCTCGCTCGCTCTCACGCGAACAACTGATAACGCGCTGTATCGCTTATATCAAGTGAACAATTGTATAGTGCGATCTCGTCAAACCGAGTACGAATCTCGACGTGCTCAAATAACGTCGAGAGCTCACAAATCTTGTACATATCGTGTATTTTTGCGCAATAAACTTATCGCCACTCGTGTGTGGATGTCACTGTGTTATAATCAAAGGAGCAATTTTACTTTATTTCATCCCATCACTCATGCGCAATCACGTGATTTACAAACTCGCGATACCCACTCGTGTGTGTACCGGCATTACGCTAGCAACTCTCAAAGTTGCGATCCTGAACAAAATTAATTGAATTAAAAGTTAAGTTAACTATGAAAAGTAATTAAAAAGTTAAAAGTTAAATTTGTTTTATTTCATGATTTTATTTCAGGATTTCACAGTCTTACAAATAGCGGAAATAACAAACATCACTTTATTTATTATACTTATACACTTTATTTAGAAACATACTTTATATTTTATTTACAAATACTTATTAAATTTAAGTAATAAAGCCATTTCGAAATTCTTATCAGACATTTTTCCTCGAAGATTATCGAAAACGAGCCCTCCTGCACTGAATAACCGTTCAACGTGAGCTGAAGATGGTATCGAAGTATTATATTTTATAAAAGCACATTTGAGTGCCTTAGGGAAATCTTTTTCCGTCGCAAATGTATCAATTGACAAGTAGGTTTGAATAATATGATCAGTTATTATCGCGTTTTCGTTTCGGTTCTGGTCCGGCGTGTTATGAAATATAAAAAAATCGTCGGTTTTGCGTAAGACCTTCTGTTCTTTGAGTATACTTGTATGAACTTCTGCATCTTTGAAATTAAACTTTTGAACAATCGATTTTAAAAGTTCGGTAACCTCTTTTTTTCGTTTTTATCTTGTATTCAGCACAATTTAAAATCTGGTATCAAACAGGCAACAATCCTCAGATCATTAGACTGATAGAGATAGTGAAATCTGAAAAAATATTAATATATTTTTTATGTTATATAGTCTGAAGAGGGGAATAACAATCAAATTAATCAGTGACGTATTTGATAATTTTTTATATGAATAGTTTTACAAATATGTCAATTAAAAATCAGTTTGGTGACAGATTCGCGGAACTTTAAATTGAAATATTATAAATATGAAAGTTTCATGATGAAACTATCGATTAGGTAAAAATTGACCAAATGTCATCGCTTAATTTTCTAAATCCATTGAAGCACACATTTGCTCTATACTATTCTTTGTCTAATTATTTTATAATCGTTACAACAAACCTTTTGTAAATACCTTTCAGGAGAGCATTTACTAATGGTTTTACATGAAACACCTCAGTTAGCTTTTGATTTAAATGTTCTTCGATTGATACTAACGTAGGCAATAAATATCCCATAAAAATATGTTTATCTCCTTGTAAGATATCTAAACCTTTGGCAACGGTCTCATTACCTAGAATGTGAGTCGAAATTAGCACATTGTTTTTAGTTTTTATATAAAAAAAATTATTTTAACTTTTGATAAAATAAATATTAGGACATAATAAATTATTTATACATTATTAACATAAATTTAAAAAAAAGCAAAATTACCGTGCAGTATTCTTTAAAAAAGTCAATTTCGTTAGGAGTTAAAGTGGGAATATTTAAGGAAGAAGCTAGGGCGTTCACTTGTTTAATATTGTTTGTTACCTCCACTATAGCACCATAGAATGAATTCCATCTAAATTACATGCAAATAAAAAGTAAAAATCAAAACCATGCACAACAATTAACAACAAACCAAAAACCAAAAAGCTTTCATAAATTGTTTATACATAGAACACATAGAACATAATTGTCAATTTTATATAACATAAACACAACATATATGTATTAGAGTGGTCGAAAAAACATGGAAAAAAATGAAAAAAATATTCCCATAAAAAACAATATAAAATTCCAAGACACGTATTAATATTAACCAATCGGGCTCATTTTATGCATATTTCTATTACCTTGTAGCGTTTGGAACTTTTAAATATTTTCCAAGACATTTTTTAACCATATCTGCTGCAACAGACGATTGATTTTGCTTGTTGAAGATAGCTTGACATTTTGCGAATGCCCTTCTGCTAATTTCTTTGTAATTATTGTAATATCTGCCTCAGCACAAGTTGTATCGATGGTACTAACTAAATTTAGTGTATGAGAAGTACATTTTTATTGAGGTGGTAGTCTATAACTTTCTCCGTTAGTGGTTAAAATTTCCGATATTTCTACCGATTCTAGATGTTTTCCACGTTCATTTTCTGTTTTAGCATCTTCAATCTCACTATACACTCTGTAAATATTAATATTATATAATAATATTTCCACAATATTAACTATTAAACCCCTTTAAATTACAAAATTGCAATTTTTTATTTATTTTCTAACTTTCCGTTAAAGGTGAATGTATATGTATAACTATGTAATTAAGGCTAGGTCTACAATAGGTAACTTAAGCCTTAAGAAATTGATCAATCACAGTCAAGTATGAGGAGAATACTCGATTGCGATTAGTTAATTTCTTAAGGCTTAGAGCTTAAAGTGCCTATTGTAAACCTGGCCTAAGTTCACGAGACACTAAATTTGTTTACTTGAAAGCTTTTTCAAAATTTCTAGCATTATCTGTTACAATGCATGTTGTCTTATCTTGGATATTAAATTCAATTAATACCATCTCAATTTCCCTTGCAATAACATCGTATGTATGTCTCCCTTCAAGTCGATGGCACACATGATTGATTTTCTCTCCAGAGTATCATGATCCAACCAGTGTATTGTCATGCCCAAGTAGGATCTTACAATAAAAATATAATTCGATCATTGATCAATAACCGTGAATAAAGAGACAATTTATAATAAAATTGTTTATAAAAATAGATCGGTGACTACCTTCTAAATGCCGTCCAGCAATCTGCCGTTACACACACCTATTCCACTTTCTTTAGTTCTTCGATCAGTTCCATTTTCATTTTTTCGAATGTTTTATCAATATGCGTCATAAGAGTTTTGCAAGTCATAGGCATTTGCTGAATTGTTTCACAAAACTCGATAAATGCTTCGTGCTCGACAAGTGAAAATGCAGACGCAGTATTGATAATAAGCTTTAAAGTAATTTGATCAAACTTTTGTTTAGTTAAAAATTTATTTTTTCTGAAATGATCCAACTTCCTTTGTTTTGAATCTGGTTTTTGCTCATCAGATTTTCGTGTGCTAAATTTCTTTTAACTGCTAGTGTATTTTTCGAAGCTTTGTTAAAATCGTCTAATTTACTAGGATGTATAATGCTGAAAAACAAGAAATCAGTTATATTTTATATTAAAAACATAACTTAATGTTTTTTTATGTTTTACATATTTATTATATTAACAATAAACTTACTTTGATGTGCGTTTTCAAATTCGAGTTTGAAGACACTGATGCCGAGAGACACCTCCGATTAGACACAGTACAATTGGACACAACTGGCTTTAATTGGCTAATCGTGCTTGATCGTGCTGGTTACCCTAGGCATCGGTCTATATGATTGGCTGTGTCTAATCGTACTGTGTCTAATCGAGCAATCCGCGATGCCGATATGTATTTTTTCTTGGGTTTACATAAGAAGCATTTCCGATTTTTTGATCGTGAGTGTCGAACTCAAAAAAATCGCGAAAGTGAGACCACATGCATAGCACGCTTTTGCGATCGACTGTAGATTGCGACAAATCACCCCAATCAAAATCTTTTTCAGTCGACATAGACGAATCAAATTCGTCAACGTTAACACTCATTGCGTTTTTTACACAAAATCTACTTGCGATCACGTAAATTGCGTTAATTTTACGACCAGCGTTTGGGGAAAAGAGGAAGCCAAATCGACTAGTACTGCAACCTGTGACTTATAATGTAGAATCACTTGTAGGCAAGCGCGCGGCATCTCGCGACGCCTTTATTTATGGCATAGTTAACTTCAAAAGAGTAACATAAAAAGTTATAAGTTATCGATAAAATGTAACTAAATTAAGTTAAAAGTTAAGAGTCTAGGAATGTAACTAAGTTAAGTTAAAGTTATTTAATTTTTTAACTTAACTTTTATCTTTTTAACTAGACATTACCCAGCCCTGGCAAATATATTTCAAAGTGCGCGATTTTTGTACATGTAGCTTAAACTTTCTTCTTTAAAATAAGCTTATCGACCTTTCCCTTGGGAAAGGTCGATAAGCTTATTTGTTTAAAAGTCATGATTTTTTTCGTAGGTGAAACATATGTCCCGGAGGTATGAAAGAATTAAATGCTTATAACGGACAGCACAAGAGCATCTATCTAGATGTATCTATCTGTTCATTCAGTGATAAATCATAAAACGGGTAAATCTATTCAAACTGTATTAATAATAATGCGTCCATTCTCTCGATCAGGTCAGATTAAAAACGAGGCTTTAAAAACAAGTTCGCACCGTGAAGAATATTCGCAGTTAATATGATTGTATTTTATAATTGTAATTTATAATTTGTTGCTGTATAATATATATTATTATCGTTGATATTTCTTCTTAATTCTTAATAAAAATTAATTTTTATATATACGTCATAATTATAATTTTATATATATATTTATATATTTATTTCATATCATTCTCTTTATCTTGCATTAATTTTAATTTATTTTAAATTATCAATATTCCTTCTGCACATGAATATTTTCAAATTAAATTAAAATACATTTCTGCAAATCGGGCAAGTAGATTTTTGACTTGTATTGAACCATTTGTACTGAAAAAGAAAATGACACAAATATAATAATATTAAATAAATTTCCTTAAATTAACGATATATACTTACCAAGCAGAGAGTATGAAATTTTTTACGACAAGTATGACATGATAATTTTGGTATTTGATATGTGTTAATATGAAAAACACTAAAACATATGTAACACTCCTCGACGCCTGCAAATTTCTTATCCAAATTACGTTTCCACATTATAAGACCATCCCAAATAGAACCATTCTGCAAATAAAAAATATATTATTTGGATGTTATATCTTTGTCGAGTTGAGAAGTTGATTTTATTTTTATGAAAAAAAAGCAATAAATAGAAGAAATACTTTTGGATACAAATAGAATATATATACAGAGTGATTCTAAACAAACATTTGTCTTTAAAATATCGAATTAGTTAGTGAATTTGAAGACGATATTTCCTTTTGCAAAATTTTGTCTGGAGCTTAGTTTTTAACTATATAAGGGAAAATAGTAAACTAATTATGGAACGAGTAATATGAATAATATAAGAGATAGGAATGGCACGCATCGATATTGGCGATTACTTGGGTGCTCGCCGCGATCAGCTAATTCCTCTGTGTGTGTGTGTGTGTGTGTGTGTGTGTGTGTGTGTGGGCGCGCGCGCGCGAGAGAGAGAGAGAGAGAGAGAGAGAGAGAGAGAGAGAGAGAGAGAGAGAAATATTGAGAGAATGTGCACATGTATACACACATACACGTTAATTCTCTCTCTCTCTCCCCCACCCCCCTCTCTCTCCCTCCCTCTCTCCCTCCCCCCCTCTCTGTCAACGCACGCACGCACAAATAAAAGTATGAAACTTTAAAAGCGCATATCTCAGAAACGAAAAGAGACCGCCACACAATTTAAACGTTATATTAGGTATCCTCTACAACATATGTAAAAATAAAAATTTTTCGAGCTGTGTAATCTAAAGTAAACATTTACCAAAATTATTTTTGTATTTATTTTCATCCTTTTTCAGCCTCTCCAAAGCTATTTGAGTCCGACCCTTATATATATATATATATATATATATATATATATATATATATATATATATATATATACAAAATTACTCGGGAAGATTTTCCCTATAACATATTTAAAAATAAAGCAAATCGGAGAGGAGATCTCTTTTATGCGTAAATTTTTTATATAGTTGACTTAGTTTTCTTTATCTTTGTGAAGTTTTTCTTTAGTGGGAGTATAGTTAGTTTTTATAAAATGTATTTAATTATATATTTATATTATTATATTTAAATAAAGTATAAATAATTATATAATACATTATTGTACATATTTAAATATAATAAATTAATACAATAATATATTAATATAAATAAATATAAAATAAATATAATAAAATAAATATAAAAATATAAATAAATATAAATTTTATAATTTATAAATATAAAAATATAAATAAATATAAATATTATAATTTATTATATCTTATAAAAAGACAATTTGCATCAATGCATTGATACATCATAGATAAAAATAGTTGTTGAATGATAGCTCCAATTGACTAAATAATCTTTCATATCTTATAAATGTTATGAACAAATCTTTACAATCATAAATTATTGTATAACGCTGCGAATGTCATTAGAAACAAAATCTTTGCATATGTACGTACGAACATATATGCGTGAGTCTAAAAATTGAAGAATTGAAATCACAATTGAATCACAATTCTGATACGCTTATTATACCTCAGAATTGATTACACCAATTTTATTCGAGTTGGTCACAATCGAAAGCTTGCATTTACATTATATTTAAAAAATGCTGTTAGATTTTTTATTACGGCTTTAGTTTCTGAGGTATTTTAATCGAAAATTTATTTGAAATACGTAAAATTCTGGATAAGCTAGTGCGCTCGACATATCAAAAACAATGATTCCCAATGATCGGATCCAGTTCTTTTATGTACTTATCATGATATTATCGCATTGCTTGACTTTATATTTTAGAAACTGACACGTTGTTTAATAAAATAATTAATTTCAAATTTCATTTAAATGAATAATAAAGAATAGTAAAGAAAATAGTAACAGATAAATTTTATGTCCATGTACTGCATTCTTATAAGTTTACAAGGAAAGGACATTGCAAGAATATATGAATCAATTTATTCTTTTCCTGGCAACAACATTTTATCAATTGATATGCACTTGTATGATATATGTGCGTCAATTTAAATTTTAAATAAGATTATTTTAATCTATGTGATTCTAAACGAATTTCCAGAAATCTTTAAAAACACGAAAAAAAACTCACAAAACAGAAGTTATTTGGCAAGTTATTTCCAATTGCTTTCCAAAAAAGTTTTTAAATTAAAAAGGAGAAAAAATATGTGCTACATGAACTAAATAAAAATTTCAAAAACATATTTGTACACTTAATAGAATAATAATGGTAATAAAGGTGATAATGGTGATAATGATGACAATAATGATAATGATGTTATTAATGATAATAATAATAGTGATAATAATAATAATGATAATAATAATAACGATAATAACAAAATAATAATAATAAATAATAATAATATGTAATTATAGTAAAATATTAAAATAGCAAAAATATTAATTTATACAAATGTGTTTTATATATTTATACCAACTATGTTTCTCATTTGACCTATTATAATTATTATGTACTTAGTATCAAGTACATTAATTATAGTTTTTTAATACTAAGTATATTTCATATTTTCTTTAATAACAAATATATTAATACTTACTTGATGTGTGAGAAATATAGATAATTGCATATGACAGTTTCTCCAATTTGCTGTACTACCAGCATGTTGCCCAGATTCTACCTTTACTGTACCTAAAGGATAATTTGACGGTAACACTACACTTAATTCCAGTTTTGTGTCATCCATTTGATACAAAGCTATTACTTCTCTTGTTGTTGGATGCACCTTTATCTATAAAAATATCATACATAAAATTAAATTACGAAATTATTAAAAATATATAAAAAGAATTCTCTATGTAAATTTTAATGAAAATACCTGCATATTTTCAACATTCAATAATCTGTTATTAAGCTCTTCTTGACAAAGCATAGGGCTGATATAATGATTTGTAATCTTGTCTATTATTGCACTGACTTTACTATCAGCTGTACTCAGCCATTGTCTCACTAATACTGGTAAATGCCGTAAACAATTTGTATATAACCAACATACAATATGATCTACTTTCCATTCTGTCCAACTTTCTGTTACAACAATAAAATTGGGAAAAAATTATACATACATATATACAGGGTGGGCCATTTTAATACGTCCATGGAAATATCTCCTCAAGTAGGGGCGACAGCCCTTAAAATGCCTCAGACAAAAGTTGTATACTTTGAAGGCGGCCATAAGATGGTGTCATTGATTTGACATTGAATAGTTACTTGAAGATCACGTGAAGGTCACCTTAAATTTTTTAAATGAAACCCCCTATTTTTTATTGCATATTCTTGCAGCTCATCTCGAGGGCTTTCCAAAACACTATAATAAAATATTTTTCTCTCAAGTACTTTTTGAGTTATAAAGCTTGAAATAATTTCTTAATTTTACATAAACTATAAAATATCTTGTAAAATATTCATTTTTTTATTATCTTATCTTAATCCTTTTATGTACAAAATAATGAGAGGAATTAATTGATGTAAAGAAAACACAGTTGTTTTTAAGAAAAAATATGTTGTTAATTGTAATGTAAAATTAAGAAATGATTTCAAGCCTCATAACTCGAAAAGTGCTTAATGAAAACTAACTTAATTATAGCGTTTTGGAAAGCTCTCGAAATGAGCTACAAGAATATGTAAAAGCATATAGGGTGTCCCATTTAAAAAGTTGGAGGTGACTTTTACGTGACCCTTACCCTTCAGGTGACTCTTCGAGGTCAAACTAATGACTTCGTTTTATGTCCTCCTTAAAACCATACAACTTTTGTCTGAAACGTTTTTCTCTAAATTGCTTCGTTTCCGAGATATAAATGTTTGTAGAATATACAGGGTGTCCCATTTTAATCCATCCAGTCGAATATCCCGAAAACCAAGTCCGAGAGAGAAAAATGTTTCAGACAAAAGTTGTATGGTTTCAAGGGTGCCATAAGAGGGTATCATTGATTTGACCCTGAAGAGTCATTTGAAGGTCATGCAAAGGTTACTTTGATTTTTTAAAATCGAACACCCTATATATTTTTGCATATTCTTGTAGTTCATCTGAAGAGCTTTCCAAAACACTATAATTAAGTTAGTTTTCATTAAGTACTTTCCAAGTTATGAGGCTTGAAATCATTTTTTAATTTTACATAAACCATAAAATATCTAGTAAAATATTCATTTTCCGATTATCTTACCTTAATACTTTTATATACAAAATAATGAGAGGTATCAATTGGTGTAAAGAAAACATACAGTTGTTTTTAACAAAAAATATGGAATTGTTAATTGCAAATTCCATATTTTTTCTTAAAAACAACTGTATGTTTTCTTTACATCAATTGATTCCTCTCATTATTTTGTACATAAAAGTATTAAGGTAAGATAATCGAAAAATAAATATTTTATTAGATATTTTATGGTTTATGTAAAATTGAAAAATTATTTCAAGCCTCATAACTCGGAAAGTATTCAATGAAAAAATACTTTATTATAGTGTTTTGGAAAGCTCTTGAGGCAAGCTACAAGAATATGTAAAAATATGTAGCGTGTCCCATTTAAAAAGTTGGAGATGACTTTCACGTGACTCTTCAAGGTCAAACTAATGGCACCATCTTATGTCCCCTTTCAAGCAATGCAACTTTTGTCTGAAACATTTTTGTCTGAAACATTTTTGTCTCAAACTTATGGATTTTGAGATATTTCAGTGCGTAGATTAAAATGGCCTACCGTATATTGCCCGGAGCTTAGTTTTTAAACTATAAAGGAAAATAATTAACTAATTATACGGAGCGAGTACGAGAGGTAGGCAGGGACACGATATAGGCGATTATATGGGGCACTCGCCGCGATCAGCTGATTACTATACGTGATGAGTGTAGCAATCAGTGTGTGTGTGAGAATGTGCACGCACACACATACACTGATTACACTCATCGCGTATAGCAATCAACTGATCGCGACGAACACTCTACGTAATCGCCTATTGCGCTGTCCCTGCTTATCTCTTATACTCGTTCCTTAATTAATTAACTATTTTCCTTTATAATTTAAAAACTAAGCTCTGGGCTAAATTTTGCAAGAGGAAAAATCGTCTCAGAATTCATTCAAAAATTTGATATTTTAAAGACAAATGTTTATTCATAATCACCCTGTATAAAACGATCTATTTTTGAAAGATCATGTGTATTAATGATGACAAAATAAAAAATTAGTTAAAATGATATAGTATTTTAATTTGGAAAAACAACAAAATATTATCTTACTTAATAATTAATTTTTTTAGTTTCAATAACTTTTTGTAGTTTTCTTGATATATTTTAAATTGATTTTTACAAATGCTATAAATTCAGATTGTCGCATATTAATTGTAGCGTCTTAAAATAAAAATTACACATGACAATAAAATTCGAATGATTGAAAGTAAAATGTTATTTCCTATGTAATTTTTTGCGCTGAATCCGAATCCGATCTCTAAATTTTTCCAGCATGTCTAGGATTCCGAGATAAACCAGATTAAAGGTGTATCTAAAATAGATTTTGATGATATTGAGTACTTGTAAAAAGCAATTATCTTAGAATAATTTAGTTGGTTAAGTCAGAAAGTTATTATCTCCACCTTCAAAATCAATTATGATACGTCCATATCTGATATTTTGTCGCCAAGATACTATTTTGAATATACACATTTTTTGATACATGATAGGTTATAAATCATGATTAGAAAGATCGTCTCCATATTGCCTTCTGAACAATGCTTCAAGCAGAATGATCTTCAATTTCTAAAATTTAGGTATTTGTGATTAAGGCCCGATTGCACCAACGTTGTCTATCTTTATCTTTCTTTCTAAATAATTAAAGACAGACATATATTTAAGTCTCGCTTAAAGCTGAAATAACGTTAGTGCAATTGGACCTAAACGATCTGGAATTAAAGTGTCCAAGGTTTATCAGGTTAGATTCAGAATCGAAAGATAAAGGATTGAAGGACTTGGGGATTAAGGGTCTGAGATTCAAAGGCTTTTATTTGAAAGAATGTTAAGAATTTGCATTAAAGTCTTGTGTTTAAATATCTGAAACTTATAGACATGCATGAAAATTCTTTGGTCTTAAAAATGATGTATCTCAGCGACAAAATATAAAATATCGTATTAGAACAAATCAAAATAGATTTTGAAAGTGAATAATGGTACATTCTAGTCAACTAAATTACTTTGAGACAATTGCTATTCCAGCAGCTGTTATTTGAATATATTTGAATATCAAAGTCATCATTTTTTTTATCCCGTTAGCCTCATTTATCTCGAAATCCTGATGTATTAAGAAAATTTGGACGTCAGATTTGTATTCAGTGCTAAAAATCATAGAATATAACTTTTCATTGTAAATCATCCTTCATAACCCTTATTTGCAGACCTGTTATTATTATTAAAATTTGTTAATTTTATTATCCAGAAATGTTTATAGATATTCAATTAAGCTCATATTTAAAAACTACGACGATCTAGAACATACAGCAAAATTCATGTCAAGAAAAGTCACTTTTCTTTCTTCCTGTGAAATCAAATAGCTCGAATATCTTTGCAATCTTCAGATTTAAAACCAACCGAACTTTTAAGTATAAACCAAACTTATAAGTAATTCTACATAATAGAATTGACAAACCTAAAATTCTATTTTAAAGCGTTCTAACTAGCATGAAAAAAATCTAAACTTATATATAATTATATTTATAAAATTTAGTTCAAAATATGCCAAAATTTCAAAAAATTATTAACATTACAATAAATTATATTAAATGTTAATTACAGAATAATATAATCATATATTAAAATATTATATTACTATAACTGGTTTTTTTATTTTATCATTCTTAAATGCGTTTACAAATAGTGTATTATGCATTAAATAAAAAAATTGATTTTCTTTAAATTAAAAGTGTTTAGTAAATTTAATTATAGTGAAAAAATATTTATATACATATATACTTTCTTTCTATAAATAATATTTTAAAATAAATTTTCATAAATTAAATTTTTTTGTTGTTGTATTGTTATCTATGATATTTGTAAATTTGTAATCAATAATACCTTCAAAATTAAACGATGGAACAGTGGTAAATGCTTCCAGTAACTTTGCAGTTTTTTTCTTGTTATCTTGTAATACTTCCACAGGCATTAATTTAAAAATATTATTTAACAGACAAGGAAAAAAATCATTTCTAAAATTTATAACGTATAAGTTAAAAATACATATAAATATCATGTAAGCTGTTAATAATAAAATTCAAATTTGTGTAAATTATGGAAATAAATAGTACACATGAATATACTTACTTCAATATTTCAGCATATTGATACCGTAAATCACTATGAGCATATCCACACATATCTAGCACAATTGTCCACACTAGTAAATATTCTAATGTATATGTATAAGAATCTGTAAACGGTTGGATTGTGCAGCTTGTTGTGTCACATAATCTAAAAAAATAATATAATAAAGAATATCTTATTATAAATTATTAAAGCAATTTATTAAAAGAACTTACTTGAATTCCATAAGCATTGTATTCACAATATTTTGTGTACTTGATAGTACTGCTATGAATCTTTTAATATTGAAATTGTTTGGCTCAAAGTTGTCGGATTCGATAAGAACTTTATCACATTGTACAAGTTCTGATACCATATGTTTCAATGCATGATAGGCACTCAATTGAATATTAAGTATAGGAGAATGTAATAATTTCAGACATAATTTTAACATCTCATTGAAATTAATTGTTTCAGAGGGTTTGTCATATTTTTTGAATAATATATTTTTGTCAAGAATACTAATTGATTTTCCTAAGCAATCTAATGGTATGATATATTTTAAAGTAACTGTATCTTTATTATATAAATTCATACAAAATATCCAAGTTTTCACAATATCACTATTTATACAACTAGCAAATACATTTATCCATTCATCCAAGAGAGTAGGAGGCAATTCTGGTATTCGTTCTTGCTCATGTTTATTCATTAAAGTTTGGACTGCATAGTATAATTGATTAATTGCTATCATTAATGCTATTATTTTAATATCAGTATAATTCAATTCGAAATTAGTAAGTAACTGTTGCCATGTAGTAAGAGCTATCAAAATAAAATCCCAATGTTCATTTTGTAATTTTGATGGAACTTTTTGGACGAGTGCTGTAAGTAATCTTATAACTTCTAGCAGTAAACACAATTGATTCCATGAAATATTAGAAATATCGTGATCTAAAAATGCAATATCTTTTTTATTATATAACATAATCTTTTCTATAATTGTAGTATAAACTGAACTGTCATTTTTGATAGTTGCAACTCTAGTGACAATTAATGTATGAATATCGTTATTCATTAATAACGGAATATTTTCTGGCATCCAATAATCGTTTAAAATTTGAATTGCTTGAACATATGTTTCATCATCATGTTCTCCTTCATTATTTTTGCAATTTTCATAATATTTTACAGGATTATCACTTATTTTAAATTCAGTATAATGTACACGAATTATATATGGTAGCATAAATCCATAATTTGATTGATTTTTTTGTATATGAGATAATACATCATTATGGATATTCTTCTGAAAATATTTTTCCAAATTGACAAAATTACTTTTTAATGAATCATAAAGTTTATTAACATCATTATAATGTTTAGAAACTTTATAATGTTTATTGTATATTTCAGCTATACTAGTCACATGCATAATATTTATCAATATCTCTGTAATTCCTGGTAAATTTAATTCATATAATTCAAAGTTTTCACTTGAATCTGAAAATGTATTAACATGTATAGAATTTCTTAATCTCTTATACAAATTATTGAGCAAATCTGTAACAAATAAGGCCCATGATAAACAATTAGTCATATTATCCGAAATTATATCATTTGTTATATCAATAGACATATAATGCTCAAAAATTTTTATCTTGTTTTCAACATTTGATATATATAAATTGCCTGTTATTATTTCGCCATATATTGCAATAGTAGTTGCTTCTGCAATCCATGATTTTATATCAGATGCTGTTAAAAATAATAGAATAGTTTCATTAATGCAATGAGAATTTATATTATTATTATTAATTATAATTTCTAAAACATCTGTTGCCAAATTTACTAATATATCCTTAATATGACATGTATTATATACTTTGCTCCAAATAATAATTGCACATCTTTTAACAAGATCATTAAATTCCGAACCAGATAATATCTCATTACTTCTTACAAGTCCTTCTTTCCAACTATTGTGCACAATATGAGCAATTGAATCATCATATTCTCGAGTGCATAATTCAAAAAATGTTTCCAATATCTGTACAGCACTTAATATTATTTGTTTTTGACTCCATATTAAAGTCGTTAACTTTGTAATAAATGTAATAAATTGCATAGAACAATTGTCATTTGTTTCATTTAAGGAATTGCAAAGTATTGATACAATCTCATTTGCTTCTTCGTCATTTATTAATAAATCTCCGGTTGCCAAAGCTTCAAAAGCTAACAAAATCAGATTCTGATTTTTTTCTAAATTATTGTGTCCAGGTGAAGCAATTTCTTTGGCTACACCTATTAATAACTTAGTTACATTAGTTTGTATATACCATTTCTTTATTATAGGATCATTTCTATTTCTTTCAGATAAACTGCAATATATTACATTCTTTGTTACTGCAATGTCATTTAATTCAATTAATGATTTTAAAACTTCGTTCTTTTTGGTATCACTTGTATATTTAATAAAATAGAATATTAATTCAATAACTTCTTCCATTATTTCCGAATTTTTCAATAACATGGATCTCAAGTTATTATTGTAAAATTCAAAGAAATCTTTGTCAAACTTAAATGATTTTGAAAGCGCAACGAATAATTCTTGACTTGCGAAATATTTTATAAGTTTATTCAGTTGTTTGACATATTTAATAGACTGCTGGTTTTTAATGTTATTAAAATAAACTATACAAAGTTCATTTACAAACTCACAAAGTTCTGCATTAAAGACTGTATCGGTATAAATATCGATTTTTACTTTTGATTGGCTCGCAATAGGACTTGAATCAGAAAATCTTACTTTTAATTTCTTATGGTTGCGATCTGGTAAATTCTTTAAAGTTAATAAGAATTCGATTTGAGAATCTTTTGTATCTATAGTATGTGATGTTACAATTTCTTTTGATATATTTATAAGCCTGATAAACAATAATCTCAATTCAATCCAAAATTGCTGCATTAAAGAAATGTATGCTATATACCCTTCATTAATACGATTTTTACTCCAATATCGTATTAAATGTGCTACTTCAACAAAACAAAATTGTTTCATAGAAATGCTATCTGTCATACATGCTTCTATAACAAACATAAGTTGTTCTTTGAGGAGACGCATGCATAACTCTATATTTTCAACATTTATAAGAATTGAATAACGCAGGCATTCAATAAAAGAGCTCACTATAGCAAGTGTTTCTGAACGACTTATTTGAACACTTTTGACAAAAAACCCTTGACGCATGTTATCAAAGAAATTCATGTAAAGATCATTGATATTAACATTCAGCTTCGAAAACTGACTGATAAAAGGTAGTAAATTTGGATAAACAGTGCTTGCGCAGCATTGGCCGCCAGACCGTAAAACATGCCATAATTTCGGTAGTACAAATTTATCGATATTTACAACAAGATACCAATCATCAATTTTAGTTATAGCTATGAGCATTGATTCCCAAACAGCTGATAAAATTCCAGGCTCTGTTTCATCAAGATTATTCGTAATAGTAGTCAATGTCCTTTTCTTTTCATTTTGTAACAATTTTTCTGCATTTTCCATTATTGATGTCAATACATTAAAGAAAGCTATTTTTATTGACAGAGTATCATGCTTAGCTAATTTCCAAAATTGTGAACTGCTTAAAATTTTGTTATGAATTTCTAAGGTTTTTTCTATTTCATGAAGTGGAACTTTTTTGAAATAATAACTATATCCTTGCAGATTTGTTGCCAATACTCTCTGATATTTGGCTTCCATTTCTTCTTTAGTAAGAGATTTTTGAACTGATAATGTTTGAGCCGTATGTATAGTGATATTGTTATTAATATATATTAAAATTTCATGTTGATAATGAACAATTGCATCAATTATCTTGCAAGGTGGAAAAGTATTATTGAAGGAATTGATAGCAGCTGAAGCTGCTGGAGGATATGTATCATATTGAGAAATAAACCAAGCACCAATCAATTGTTTTAAATATATCACTATGCCTTTACCTACACGCTTGGCAACTGCTGCATGTGCTAACTGTGCAGCTTCTCTTACTCTATGATCTATATCAATTGATAGAGTACAGTATAGTCGTGGCCAAAAAGACAATACACTTTCTATTATTGATAATTCAGCTTCTTGACATAAAGTTGCAAATTCTTGCAATGCCTATATATCCATATTCTTATCAGTTTGTAAAATGTATACAAATTAATCAATAAATCAAAATAATTACCTTATATTTTGTTGTAGCATCTTTTTTACTCATTTTTTTTAATATTACTTGAAAATTAGAATCCACATTGTTTATTTCTCCCTCATTTAAGTAACATAAAGATAAACCAGGTAAAACAGGAACATATCCTCCATCCTTAATTGCTGAGAAGCCAACATAATTGGGCATTGCTGTACCCAAAAGTTCTGCACTGCGGCTACTATTTGATGGCTAGAAAATAATTTTTTTTTTAAACCTTGCATGATATTTTAGTTGTAAAATAATATAAAAGATTAATATAAAATTGTATATTATTAATATTATTAATAACATTAATATATATAATTATATATATTAATGTAATATATATTAATAATATACAATTTTATATTATTAATCTTTTATATTATTTTACAACTAAAATATCATGCAAGGCTTAAAAAAAAAATTATTTTCTATCCATCAAATAGTATATGTATAAATATATATAAATATATATATATATATATATATATATATATATAAAGTATATATAAATATATATATATATATATATATAAAGTATATATAAATATATATATATATATATATATATAAATTATATATATATATATAAATTATACATATATATAAATTATACATATATATATATATAAATTTATATTATTAATAATCTAGAAGTACAAATATTGTCATAAACAAACTATATATTCTATTAATAATTATTGTTTGAATAATATGTCATATACAATAATGAATATTTAAATAATGTATCTACAAGTAATATATTATTATTTTTATGTACTGATATTTCATTATGCTTATAAAAAATCATGCGTATAATTTATATAACATTTCTATTCACCCGTGCATTATTCTTGATTCGTTGTGTTTGTTTATTTTTACCCATATTAAAAACTTGAAATGACAAGATAACTTAATAACTTTCAATGACTATATTAGTATCTTTCTTTTTTTTTTTCTTAATAATGATCCACATTCAGCAGACTCAACAATTGGACACACTAAACTATGGCCAGTCTCTGCTATGGCTGTGTTCCGATATAAAATATAAACTGCCAGTATTGAAAATCTATAGTATACGTGACGTAGGTGAAAGTATATACAGGCTGCGTTCTAATATTCACTGCCAGTACTGAAAATTTATAGTTTACGTGACGTACACTATAGATTTTCAGTACTGAGTGAATATTGGAACACAGCCACAGTAGCGCAACTCTCTGTAGCATCGTCTACAATGGCAGTAGGATTAATGAATTAAAGCTGTAACTCAAGAAATTGACCAATCACAGTAACCAATCGAGTATTCTCTTAGGCCCAGTTCCACAATCCAGTTAATCTGAGTTTAAGTAGCGAATGGACCAATCAGGACCCAGTTTAACGTATTAAACTGGGTCCTGATTGGTCTCGGATACTCGGATTAACTCGAGTTATGGAACCGGGCCTTAATGCTTGATTGTGATTGTAGACACAGGATGCAATTCCTTAAGTTACAGCTTTAATCCATTAATCCTACTGCCATTGTAGACGATGTGTGTCGGCATCTTTGATGTTAGCGTGGGTAAAAATGAACTGCACATGCGCGGAGTTGGTAGGTAACCAATCACAGCAGTGACCTTTTGTCTCGCTTGCTCTTTCTTTGTCTCTTTTTCTAACCTATTATACACACACTATACATGGCGAGACATCTGACATCGAAACATACACTATATTGAGTGATTGATCTAAAATTGTATATTTCAAATGAGTCATCCAGTATAGTAAGTATGTTTCAGGGTCGCATCGCTACAGAAGCGATGCGACTGTAGCGCTACATAAGCGTGTTTCACGTTATTAAAGCGCTATAGTACCCAGACAGCACACATGTCCAAAAAACATTTAAAAGACGACTTAAAAACGTCTTAAAGTCCTCTAGACATCTTTAAGACATCTTTTAACCTTTTTGTGCTGTCTGGATAGCGCTAAAAAGTACGTTTCAGGACTTTCTGCTACAATTGTAGCGATCGCCATTTTTTCTGCTACAATTGTAGCAAAAAAGCTGTAGCGCTACTGTAGCGATGCGACTCCGAACACATCCAGTGTATGTTCTGATGTCAGATGTCTTGCTCTGTATAGTGTGTGTATAGGTTAGAATAAGAGACAAAGAGAGAGCAAGCGAGACAGAAGGTCACTGCCGTGATTGGTTACCTACGAAGTGTGCGCATGTGCAGTTCATTTTTGCCTACGCTGAAATTGCCAGAGTGCTACTGTATATACTGTGATAATACACATACATCAGCGTTTCTTCCGCCAAAAATTGGATTCGGCGTAACAATAATAGTGTAAAATGACTAAGCGAAAGCTGATACTTAAATGAAACGATGTAATTGATCGGCGCAAGTTACGCTTACGTAAGAGCCAGGGCACAAACATTGAGTATGTTTACACGGCGAGACACCTCCGATTAGACACAGTACAATTGGACACAACTGGCTTTGATTGGCTAATCGTACTGGTTACCCTAGGCATCGGTCGATATGATTGGCTGTGTCTAATCGTACTGTGTCTAATCGGGCAATTCCCTACACGGCAATGTTAATCAGGTTTAGTAACAACCGCTGTTGTAACTACTGGTGTTATATGCTGTGTAAACTGTGCTTTACTGCTGATGTTATTACATCAGTTGTAGTAACGTTACTCCTGCTGAGGAAAAGGAGTAGACTTACAAATCTGGCTTTAAGGCCCAGTTCCACAATCCAGTTAATCCGAGTTTAAGTAGCAAATGGACCAATCAGGACCCAGTTTAACGTATTAAACTCGGATTAACTCGAGTTGTGGAACAGGGCCTTAAGTCTGCTTGGAGGTTGACTTAGGCCGGTATTCATAGTCCAATTTTATATTTAAGATTGTCTTAAGTCTGGTCCGAGGTTGACTTAAGACCTCATTCAACCAATGAAATAGCTGCGTAGCGTTTCAAGCTCGAACTTAAGACAATCTCAAATATAAAATCGGACTATGAATATCGGCCATTGTCGTAGCGCCTTACGCCATCTAAAGGCTTTCGCACATGAATTGCCATAACCATAAACGTAAAACGTAAACTGAAGAACCAATCAGAATATTGCTTCAGCTTTATGTATCCTAGAAGACGATAGAAATGATGATAAAGGCTATAGCACACACTTTCCATAAGACATAACAGTAAGGTTTCGACTAATCGCGTTGCTTAATTTGGTTACGGACGGTCAAATTGAGCAACGCGATTGGTCGAAACCTTACTGTTATGTCTTATGGAAACTGTATGCTATAGCCTTAAGGTGCAATTTCATTGACGCTACTTTTTAGTAGACGTTAAATTGCACCTTTAAAGGGCATCACACACGAAATTGCATAGATGCATATGCATAACATAAGACTATATGGACCAATGAGCATCGAATATTATGTTATGTAAGTCAATATGGCAACTACATAACATAATACTCAATGCTCATTGGTCCTTATGATCTTATGTTATGCATATGCACCCATAGACATAGGCCCGTTTCTACCAACGCCGCTTAACTTTAATCTTAGCTTAACTCATTCTTTGTCTCCTTTTAACTGTTCTTTTAGAAAGAGACAAAGAATGAGTTAAGCTAAGATTAAAGTTAAGCGGCGTTGGTAGAAACGGGCCATAGTAAGTATAGACCGAGCATCCATTGTATAAGCGTTAAGCATACGAAAAGAAAGACAAAAGATGTAAGATGAGTTTCTTTCTCTTTTTAATGCCGAAGAAGTGGGGAGCATTTCTCCTCATCTCCTCGCCCCTCCATGACGAACCGGCGCGAGAAGATGTGGAGAAGTGCTCCCCACTTCTCCGGCATTGAAAAGAGAAAGAAACTCATCTTACATCTTTTGTCTTTCTTTTCGTATGCTTAAGGGCCTATTCAGACAAACTTGCATAGGTGCATATGCATAACATAAGACCATATGGACCAATGAGCATCGAGTATTAAATCGCTATATTGACTTACATAACATAATACTCGATGCTCATTAGTCCATATGGTCTTATGTTATGCATATGCACCTATGCAAGTTTGTCTGGATAGGCTCTAAAGGCCGCAGCACACACTTTTGCATAAGCGCATAACCAGAAGCATAAGGAAATTGATTGGTCCCCAAGTATATGCATAAGAAAATGAACCAATCAATTTTTGTATGCTTATGGTTATGCGCTTATGCAAAAGTGTGTGCTGCGGCCTTCACTTATGACTATATATGCACCTATGCAAGTTTGTCTGGATAGGCCCTAAGAAGTCCGATTGATCGATTTCCTTACTGATTACGTTTTGCTGCTTCCCATACAGCACAGAAGCTTGCATCGACATTGCTGCAATGTTACAACATTGCACATAGCAGTGTAATGCTGCAGAAATATTGCAGAGACATTATTTTGTAATATTACTTTAGTAATGTTGCAGCAACATTTTAATATAGCGAAAATGTATAACATATGTTTCTTTACTTGTCGCTATGTGCGAAACCAAACTTAACTAACTCGTAAACTTAACTAACTTAACTAACTTCGAATTTTCATCTAAAGTGGATATACCCTGCTGGAAATATGGGATTAAAGTCGATAAAAGTGAACTGAAAATTAATCGACTTTAATATACTTTGATCAATTTAATCGATGTTTCCAAAAATGTCGATTAAAATTTAATCGATTTCAATCGTTTTTCTTGTTTATCGTCTTCAATATCACTAATGAGTATTAATTTTAATCGATATGAATTGACTTTAGATGACAAAGATTTTTAATGTCTTTTAGTACGAAAATTTACAGTAAGAATTAATCGAACCTTATCGACTTTAATCCTTTGATAGTTTAATAGAATTTAATATTAATAAATGTAATTGAATTTTGTCGACTCCTATGCTAATATTACTAATTAAAATCGAATACATTTTTATCAGGAAATTTTGTACAAATATTAACTAGATTTTAATACATTTCAATCGCAATCACTGTTTTATCGACTTTAATGCCAATGATTGTCAAATATTGTAATCGACTTTTAGACACACTCTTTGTAATCAAATTTAATCGATGTCTATCGCGAAGTTTTATACAAATATTAAATGTACTTTAACACATTTTAATCCGAAATGCTTTTTTATCGACTATATTGCTACATATTGTGGTTCAAATCAACCCGATTTTACAGGTTTTTATAACTTCTAATTGAATGAACTTTAATGACAATAATTGTCATGTATTTTAATCGACTTTTATGGCAAGTGAATTGAAATGCAATCAATCCACTATACTACTGTGAATAGTGTCGCATGAATTTGTTTCGTGTGCGGGACTTACACTAAGCTATTGCATTGCATCAGATTTTTCTGCGCGTGTATGTAGTGTTTGTTCTTGTAATCAGTATATATTTTCTTTTTTTAGTAAAAGGTAAAGAAATAGAGTTCATTTTCAACATAATTATTGACATAGTGCACTTGTGATGATTTATTAAAACATTTGGCGAAAGGTTTGACATTTTTTTTAACCTATTTCAGAATGTACGCATACATAAAATTTCTGGACGGCCCGGTCCAGGGCAACAAGTACAGAGCACCTGCGAACAAAATCGATTTCTCTTTTACTGACGCAACATTTGATGAAAATAAAAAATATTTTGCTTATCACAAGGATGGTAACAAATGCAAAAGTCAAATAATATTTTTGACTGGTTGGTGTTTCATTGAAATATGATTATTCCCGGTTAGTATGTATACATTAATAAATAAATGTTAATCTTTTTAATTTCAGATACAGAAAAGGAGCTGGATCATCTGATAAATGCTAATAAAAGACAGAGAATCGTTCCAGTAAATAAATTAGACACTGCTAGCGAAAAATCAGATGCTAACGATGGAAAAAACTGTATTTCAAATCCTTCTGTAATTTGATTTGTTTATTTTCATGTATTTCTATTTTTCATTTTTTTTTTATATGCAATACACATACATAAATTGATGTTTTTTAGACACCATCTCGCAAAGAAATGTATGATAAATTGATGTCAATTAAAATAGAAAAGCTGGATATGTCGAAAACCAAACCGAAGGATGTAACATTAGATAATGGTGCAGATGAGTCGAGCACATTAAAGAAGAAAATTGACGACACGCCAAATAAAAAGGTTACTCATAATCATTTGTGTTTATTATCAATAAAATTAATTAGATAAAATCTTAAACTACTGATAAAATTTACTAAAATACAAAATTTTTTTAAATTCAGAAAAAAACCTAGCTTCATTTGGAAAAATTATTGGTATAAAACCAGATGATTTGGAGAACATTGTTAATGGTTCTAGCCAATTGAATCGTGGACAAGAACTTCATATAAATAATTTCAACAGTGAAGAAGAAAAGGTATACGCAATAATATTTATAACATGTGTAGATTCTGCAAACATAATAGTTAAAGCAATGTATTCATGATATTATTAGTCTTATTAATTATATGATAAATAATTGTATGGAATCTAAAAATAATTTCAGGCGAAATCATCCCTTAAATACAAGGAACGAGTGATAACTGACAACTCATTGGACGATGAAAACATATCTAATAACTCTAACCAGACAGATGATAAAGTGGATGTCGATGGAGACAATAAAAAAGCTGAAAATGAAAAGGTTTGAAGTATAATTTTGCAACATATTGATGTCTGTATGCATAACTCGGATTTATAAATATATTAAAAATTCATAATTTGACAAAGCATGTTAGATTTGCTGTAAACCAAATTTTTTTTCATTGATTGACTTATATTTTTATTTTTAATTTTTTTTTTGCATATAATTCGTAAGTTTATTTACATTTTAAATTTATATTTGTTACTTACTTTTACATTAATTGGTAGGCCTTGCAGAACAAAGAAAATATCAATCGTTTGAAGGTAATCTTAATTATAAATTAAATAATTTTTTTCATAAAACACGATACAAATAATTAATTACTTTCTATCTTTCGTTTTCTTAATACATACACTTCAACAGTTAAAATATTTTCCCTTTATTAAAACTAAATTATGATACTAAATTTTTTGTATATACATATTTATAGGTGAAAGTTTATACTAAACTTGAAGGGGACAACAAAATAAAGTATGTCAATGTGAATAAAGAATTGAACCAAGCAAAGAAAGATTTGGCTAAAGTTAAAAAGGAAAATATAAAGTTAGAGAAAAAGATAGAATGTTTGAAACAGAAATGTCAAGAGGCAACGACAGAAGCGGAGAAATATAGACTGCTAAATGTACGATTACAAGAAATACTTTTGGAAAAAAACGATGAGGAAAAGAGTAATTAATTTAAACCTAACTTGTTTTTATTGTAAAATAGTTTAAAGCATATATTTAATGTATAGTATAAATTATTTAATTATTTTACAATCATGCTCATTTTTGAGATACTGCTATATAGCAGTAATGTATATATATAGTAAGGTAATAAGCAATTGAAAAACGTGCAATATAAAAGTTTGAAAAATAAAATATTATTAAAAATTGTAGGTACACATTGGACGAAATCAATGGTTAGACGAAAAAGTGTATAACAATGTGAACAACAAATCAAAAAATCCCAAACAGTTTGTGGGAAATGTACTTGTTGCAGTTTTTGGATCTGAAATCCTACAAAAAAGTACAATAACCGGTAGAGCTTCCAATAAAATGAATTCGAAGGAAAAGTTTAACCAACTAGATCCTACTGTTGCAGCTGCTTGCAAAGGTATGAATATATTGTTTCATGCGTAATATTAAAAAAAATTTTTTTACTAGTAATGAAAATACATTTTTTTATATATTTATAAATTTATAGAACCATCAATGTTTAATTACTCTTATGAATGTAAAAACTGAAAATACATTATTCTAAATGGTTTGAAAAGCTGCAAGTAAAAATAATCAAAATTTTTATTTTCAGATGCATATGCACATTGGCTTGAAACATTATATGCTAAAATATTCCCCGACTATCATCATGAACTTGAGTTTGCCAATTTTAATGAGTATGCCTCTAAAAAAATATCCTACTTAAAACGACCACCTAAAGAAGTAACAAGTAAGACCGAAAATAATTCTAGACAATAAAAATTAGACAGTAACATTTTTTAAATAATATTTATTGTTTAGAACAACGAAACAAGACCAGTGAAGAAGAGCAGACTGAAAGTACATCAAAACGTCAGAAAATGAATGTGACACCCGATCAAACTAATAACTCAGAAAATTATATTGAAAACGAAGATAAAGCTGATGAAAATGCTGAAGAAGGGGAGCTCAATCAAATTCGCTAATGATGGCGAACTATCTTCTGATGTTGACGATTTGTCTCCTGTCGAATTTGAATCGTAGATGCTTTTAGATAATTTTTATTTCCATTAATAATTATTAATATTTAAAGTAACTTATTATTTATTTAAATATTCTTATAACATTAGAGTTAAATTAAAGTGTGTTTCTATTAAGAGCAACAAGTACAAATGAATACCAAAGACGAATAATTTTGATACGTTATTTGTTATAAAATATAACTTTCGACCGATTCGTGCAATATTTCCTCAACGTGCAATTGGATCTCCACAACTTTTTTATTGCATGGTTACAAAATGTGAGGTTGTTAGAATATTACTTTGATATAATTCAAATACATTATAAAGTCATGTCATGAAATCGGTCCCTAATTTTTCTTTACAAAAATTCTAAATTCGAAAATTAACCCATTGCTTTCAATCTTTTAATTTTCTAAGCTTTGTACAAAAAAAATGAATAAAAAATTTTTTACTCAAGTTTCACTAATTTGTTTTAATTCGGTGGCACCTGTACTTTATTTTCAAGGGTTTAAAATATGTTTAAGTTTTTATTAATATCGTACGGAAACAATTTTGTTAAAGTCGATTAAACTCGATTTGTTACTTATATAAATGGGTTAAAAGCGATTGTTATCGTTTAATTCGAAAAAGCCGATTAAACCCGATAAGTTAGTTAAACAAACGGACTAAAAGCTATTAAAAGTTATTTTTACAATTAAAGTCGATTAAGTTCTATAATGTAGAAATCAATGTTAAAATTCGCCATTCAATTCGATATAATTTTTAATCGACTTGAATTGTATTGTTTATCAGGGATTCCTTAGTTTAATCTAGTGTAATGTACTTTTTGTAATAAAATTATTAAAATCGATTTAAGTCGATTAAATAATTCGCTGATTTCTATCCTATTTAATCCGACATATTTTAATCGAGTTCAATAAAGTTTAATGCAACATGAAAATTTAATACATTCCTATGGTAAAAATTGGGTGAAGGATTCACATGTTAAATCGATTAAATTTTTTTTATCGACTTTAATCCGATATTTCTAGCAGGGTAAGGCCTACAAAGGACTAATGTAGTAATTATATTTCTTGTCTTGTATCAGTTAAATTTCTGATAAACTGACTTGATTTATTTAATATTCTGAATCCTAATAAGAGACCTAGATTATTAAACAAATAATTTGTTTAATAATCTGAATCCTTCGTCGGGATTCAAAATATTAAACAGATTTTTCTTCATTGAATATATATATTATTTTATTATCTTATAGAACATTTTATTTCATATTTTATTTTTATTTTTCTGTACATTATTTCTATGTATTTTTCACATACACATATATGTGAATGGATCTTAACAATTTTTAAATAAAAATATGTAATGAATTCTAATTATTATTCATGTTTGTTCTTTTATATTATTGTAAGAGTATATAAAAACATAAATTTAAAAACTTGATATAAATAAATGTTTGCAATGATTTTATTCAAGATAACATATTATAAAGTCATATCTAAATATATATATATATACCTAAATATATCTAAATATATATATATTTAGATATGACTTTACAATATATTATTTTAAATAAAATCATTGGAAGAAATAGTTTTTGATAGATGAATCTTGAAAGTTTATAAAAACATAAAATAAAAAATCTTGATGCAAATAAGTTTGTAATGATTGTATTCAAGATAAGATATTGTAAAGTCATATCTAAATATATATATTTAGATATAATAAAATCTATATATATTTAAATCTGACTTTAAAATATATTATCTTGAATACAATCATTACAAATTTTTATTTATATCAAGATTTTTTTATTTTATATGTTTCCTATAAACTTCCAAGAATCATATATCAAGAATGATTTCGAAAAAATGTTTTATATGCAATATTACTACATTATTACAGCAACGTTGCATTTTTTCAAATATATTGCAATATTGCTGCGACATTTCGTTATAATATTACAAAAAGCGGACATCTTAACTTTGCCGCAACTTTACAGCAATGTTGCAGCAAAGTTTCGCAACCGATTTACAATATTGCAATGTTTCAATGAAATTATTCTACAATATATTTGCAATCTTTCTGTACTGTATGGATGATGCCAATCTGTCATAATCTGACTGAATCTATTAACAGATTACTAGTATTTTGCTTACTGAGCAAGAAATCAAAAAAATTTTTTATTACATATTCTTTGGTATATAAAAATAATATTATCAACATATAAAAATCTCTAATGCATTTACAATTTAATAAAGTACAAGAAATTTATAAGTAACTGCAATAAAGGAAAATAAAATTAGTGTAGTAAAATATTATACAAGCTATGTGCTTTTTAATAGAGAAAATGTATATTTGTAGCCATTGGAAGCAATCAATATGTAATACAAGATCGTTTAAGATCATTCAAATTCAAAAAGAGCGCAAATGTTTTAAATTTTCAATTCTTATTAAATAATTTTCTTTTTCCAGAAAAAAACTTTATACCAAAGGGCATTTTTCAGCTAGCGACACAGAGGACACAGTGTAATACAATGAATCATTTCATCCTTGTTTAAATTCGGCAATTAACAAGGATGAAATGATACACTGTGTCCTCTGTGTCACTAGCTGGAAAACGCCCAAAGATTTTACATTGTTTTTTATTTATTCTTGTATAACCTTTTTTAGTATTATGTTTCTTTTGTCTTATATTCTTTATTACATATCTTCATAAATTATATCTTTATTTAGTTTTACACATATATGAATATATGGAAAAATAAACTAAATTTTGAAAAATTTGATTATAAATACTATTATTCTATGTAACTTATAAGATTCATTATTTGTATTATTCGATTATCACTCATTTATACATACATCACAATCAACAAATTATAATATAATAAATTTATACAGAGATATTATATTAAGATCAGAAATAATGTATTAATGCATTCATAATTATCTTTAATATATCTTGATATATTTTAAAATGTAATATAATCAGTTTACATCATTATTTGTTAATTTAAAAAATAATTTTTACTTGCAAAATTGCAATACTCCTTAATAAGTCTGCATAAGCTTCTATTATCATCGATGAACTTTTCTATGTAATTTGGGTGTAGGAAGTATCTTGAGAAGAATAACAAAGTGAGCGATTAAATACCCAAGTAATGCACCAATTATACAAGGAATTGGCCAAGCTTGCCAAGGACGATCCCAATCCAAAGGATTCACAATAGCACCTAGCCATGTGCCTAATATTGTTGCTTGTATAATGGTCCTTAAAGCATCTGCAAGGATATTGTTTTTTTGAGAATAAATTCCCATTAAGATATCCAATGCATTATCCACTCCTACATGTAGACTGGTAGCAACAAAAGTTAAAATAATCAATGTAAATACAAGCATTGTTGTTTCTTCATGATCAGTCAATACAGGTGCACCAAACAAAATAATTATTATGTAATAAACTATTGACAATATAAATGCAGTAAGTAAGAATTTAAGAATCTCTTTCAAATTCTTCATCCAGGATTTCTTGGCTTTTGGTGAATTTCGTTGTTCATTCTTAATAATAATAGATGTCTCCGTTTGAAGCATAGGAAACAGTAATTTAATTGTTTCAGCGAACATTAATATTAATAGTACAGGTAAAAATTTGTATTTACCGACATTGCATAAATTATCATTGAATTTGACTAATATCAAAATTCCAGAAAGATAAATGCAAGTAAAGGAACAATAAGACAGTAATAATCTCTGTTCCGTTTTGTTTCCGATACCCATTTAGTTGCAATATTCGTGGAATTTGTTAGATTAATCCTTGTTTAGGCTCCACTTATGACTTTTTTTTATATAAAAAATGCTTTCAATTCAAAAAAGTTATAAGAAAACTGTATACTGTTATATGTTTTATCGAACGTATTATAAGGTCTGTTCTTTTCAGCTGCACTGCTGCACTAGTGCAATTAGTTAAGATGCGGCCTCATTGACGCTAAAAAGTAGCGTCAACCATTGGTTGAACAATGAAGCAACTATATTTACCTCCTTGTTCAACCAATGATTGACGCTACTTTTTAGCGTCAATGAGGCCGCACCTTTAAGCGGCCTTTTTATTGACGCTAAAAAGTAACGTCAACCATTGGTTGAATAAAGAAGTAAGTAGTTGCTTCATTGTTCAACCAATGGTTGACGCTACTTTTTAGCGTCAATGAAATTGCACCTTTAGAGTGAAAGAAAGCATATTTGTCTCTTTCTAACTTATTGCACTAGTACAGCAGTGCAGCTGAAAAGAACAGACCTATAGAATATAGCAGAGACACCTCTGATTAGACACAGTACAATTGGACACAACTGGCTTTGATTGGCTAATCGTGCTTGATCGTGCTGGTTTACCTTAGGCATCGGTCGATATAATTGGCTGTGTCTAATCGTACTGTGTCTAATCGGGTAATTCCCATATAGGATGATGAAAGAAAACAAGAGCTGTGATCTGATAGAAAGAAGCCTAGGGTGCAGTCCCATGGAGCGTATCGTGCGTATCGCTGATTGCGCGTATTGAAAATCTGACCAATCGCAGACGTCCCGCTATTTTTGATACGCGACAGTTTTGTTTCTATGGTCCCATGGAGCGGAATTAGCGTAAGCGGAACAGTAGTTCGCCAATCACAAGACTGTTCAGTTGAAAAAAAATAACGAAAATCGTTTCGTGATTGACTATATTCGTATTGAGTTGACCGACAGTCAACGTTTTCTGAAAAAAATTCTTTATGGAATCGTTTGTATTTCGTATGAAGATGTTTGAAGCAATTAAAAAGATTTGTGAGTCATCCTTATAATTTTAATTAATTAATATTTTTTATTGTGTAATTAGCCGACATAGATAAAGATAAAAAAATTTTTACATAAAACCGTTTGTATTTCGTTTGAAGAGTTTTGAAATGTAATTGAAAAGGTTTGTGAGTTATTAGATTAATTGTAATTAAATATTTGTGGACTGTGAACCGAGCCGGAAGCTACATAAATATGGATGCTTCCATGTTTGATTGCGATTGATCGATTTATTATGGTTACAACTGAAATTCTTTCATGACTAGAGACCCTATAAAGAGAGACTCGCCAACTCATTCTGGACTCTGATTGGCTGGAGTTTTCATCGTCCAGGAAGTGCACATAGTGCCGTCCATGTTACACCATTTGTGCACCGTTTGTATTATAAAATCATACCAAGACATATAGGGTCTGTTCTTTTCAGCTGTACTGCTGCACTAATGCAATTAGTTAGAGTGAGGGCTCGTCCCGATGGAGAAAGAAATAGCGGAACGGAATAGTAACGGAAAGATGACTAGACCAATCAGATTGATTCCGTTCCGTTTCTTCGCGGCCCGATTCCCCATGGCATGGAACTATTAGGCCTGTTCTACAATACGTCGTATGTCGGCGTCGGATATCGTTTGTCGTTTGTCGTACGTTGATTGTCGGATCTGAATACGACTTGTCATTCTACAATAGTCGTAAGTCGGTGCAACAACAAATATAAAAATGGAAAGTAGAATGATGAGAAATTATTTAAATCTATTACACTAATTATAATACTAATATAATACTAATTTTGTTACATATAACAAAAATTAGATTATGTTTAAGAAAAAGATGCAAAATAACAAGAAGGTGGTGGGTAAAACCACATATTTCAAGAAATATGAGACAAACTCATGGTGCTCATCGAACATTATTTACATATTTTCGGACGAATGATCATGAGGAGTTTTTTAAACTTACAAGGATGTCAGTGCAACAATTCGATCACTTACATGATCTCTTAAAATTTAAATTAAAAAAAAAGTCGTAGAGAACCTTTGCCAACAGAGATACGTATTGCAGTGACTTTGAGGTTAGTTTATTGATTATATTTTGTTGCAAATATTAATATAGTTCATTTATATTTTATTCTAAACAATATGAAATTTTATCATAAATTTAAATTTATTTTTAGTTTTCTTGCTCATGCCCTGCTAGAAATATCGGATTAAAGTCGATAAAAAAAATTTAATCGATTTAACATGTGAATCCTTCACCCAATTTTTACCATAGGAATGTATTAAATTTTCATGTTGCATTAAACTTTATTGAACTCGATTAAAATATGTCGGATTAAATAGGATAGAAATCAGCGAATTATTTAATCGACTTAAATCGATTTTAATAATTTTATGACAAAAAGTACATTACACTAGATTAAACTAAGGAATCCCTGATAAACAATACAATTCAAGTCGATTAAAAATTATATCGAATTGAATGGCGAATTTTAACATTGATTTCTACATTATAGAACTTAATCGACTTTAATTGTAAAAATAACTTTTAATAGCTTTTAGTCCGTTTGTTCAACTAACTTATCGGGTTTAATCGGCTTTTTCGAATTAAACGATAACAATCGCTTTTAACCCATTTATATAAGTAACAAATCGAGTTTAATCGACTTTAACGAAATTGTTTCCGTAGAAAGATATTAATAAAAACTTAAACATATTTTAAACCCTTGAAAATAAAGTACAGGTGCCACCGAATTAAAACAAATTAGTGAAACTTGAGTAAAAAATTTTTTATTCATTTTTTTTTGTACAAAGCTTAGAAAATTAAAAGATTGAAAGCAATGGGTTAATTTTCGAATTTAGAATTTTTTGTAAAGAAAAATTAGGGACCGATTTCATGACATGACTTTATAATGTATTTGAATTATATCAAAGTAATATTCTAACAACCTCACATTTTGTAACCATGCAATAAAAAAGTTGTGGAGATCCAATTGCACGTTGAGGAAAATGCACAATTAAAAATATAGAAACTTTTGGTAGATGTGCCACATACTGTAAGTGCATTTATAAAAATACTGTTTATCACAGTCTATGTAATAATCGCGCGAAAACAACAGATGACACAGTTGTGAGACTAAAAACGGGTCAATTTTGTAGGATAAATGATATTATTTCATATAATAACAAATGTTTCCTTTCATTATCATTATTTTCGATTTTTGAAGATTTACCTTTTAAAGGTGTTTCTTATTTGTTTTTGGTACAAAGTGAAAATGTGGAAAATAGATTATTAAAACCAATAGATGCCGTGGAACAAAAAGTTGCTATTATTGATAGTAAAACTGGTAGATACTTAAGTTTATTTTGTAACAATATTGAAATTCAATAATAAAAAAAGAAACAAATATTAAAAATTTGATGAAATTTCATTTATTACCCTTCAAAAATAATGTAATATATGACAATCAACATAAATAGTTTAAATAATATAGTAATTGAAATTGTATACTTAAATTGTATACTTAAATTGTATACTTAAATGTACTGTAAATTTATTCAAAATTATACACTGTTGTATAATGTAGGTAAAGACGAAAAGTTTTACAATCTATTATTGGATTGATTGCATTTCAATTCACTTGCCATAAAAGTCGATTAAAATACATGACAATTATTGTCATTAAAGTTCATTCAATTAGAAGTTATAAAAACCTGTAAAATCGGGTTGATTTGAACCACAATATGTAGCAATATAGTCGATAAAAAAACATTTCGGATTAAAATGTGTTGAAGTACATTTAATATTTGTATAAAACTTCCCGATAGACATCGATTAAATTTGATTACAAAGAGTGTGTCTAAAAGTCGATTACAATATTTGACAATCATTGGCATTAAAGTCGATAAAACAGTGATTGCGATTGAAATGCATTAAAGTCTAGTTAATATTTGTACAAAATTTCCTGATAAAAATGTATTCGATTTTAATTAGTAATATTAGCATAGGAGTCGACAAAATTCAATTACATTTATTAATATTAAATTCTATTAAACTATCAAAGGATTAAAGTCGATAAGGTTCGATTAATTCTTACTGTAAATTTTCGTACTAAAAGACATTAAAAATCTTTGTCATCTAAAGTCAATTCATATCGATTAAAATTAATACTCATTAGTGATATTGAAGACGATAAACAAGAAAAACGATTGAAATCGATTAAATTTTAATCGACATTTTTGGAAACATCGATTAAATTGATCAAAGTATATTAAAGTCGATTAATTTTCAATTCACTTTTATCGACTTTAATCCAATATTTCCAGCAGGGCATCGACATCCACTTTATCATCTGTCTGGTTAGAGTTATTAGATATGTTTTCATCGTCCAATGAGTTGTCAGTTATCACTCGTTCCTTGTATTTAAGGGATGATTTCGCCTGAAATTATTTTTAGATTCCATACAATTATTTATCATATAATTAATAAGACTAATAATATCATGAATACATTGCTTTAACTATTATGTTTGCAGAATCTACACATGTTATAAATATTATTGCGTATACCTTTTCTTCTTCACTGTTGAAATTATTTATATGAAGTTCTTGTCCACGATTCAATTGGCTAGAACCATTAACAATGTTCTCCAAATCATCTGGTTTTATACCAATAATTTTTCCAAATGAAGCTAGGTTTTTTTCTGAATTTAAAAAAATTTTGTATTTTAGTAAATTTTATCAGTAGTTTAAGATTTTATCTAATTAATTTTATTGATAATAAACACAAATGATTATGAGTAACCTTTTTATTTGGCGTGTCGTCAATTTTCTTCTTTAATGTGCTCGACTCATCTGCACCATTATCTAATGTTACATCCTTCGGTTTGGTTTTCGACATATCCAGCTTTTCTATTTTAATTGACATCAATTTATCATACATTTCTTTGCGAGATGGTGTCTAAAAAACATCAATTTATGTATGTGTATTGCATATAAAAAAAAAATGAAAAATAGAAATACATGAAAATAAACAAATCAAATTACAGAAGGATTTGAAATACAGTTTTTTCCATCGTTAGCATCTGATTTTTCGCTAGCAGTGTCTAATTTATTTATTGGAACGATTCTCTCTCTTTTATTAGCATTTATCAGATGATCCAGCTCCTTTTCTGTATCTGAAATTAAAAAGATTAACATTTATTTATTAATGTATACATACTAACCGGGAATAATCATATTTCAATGAAACACCAACCAGTCAAAAATATTATTTGACTTTTGCATTTGTTACCATCCTTGTGATAAGCAAAATATTTTTTATTTTCATCAAATGTTGCGTCAGTAAAAGAGAAATCGATTTTGTTCGCAGGTGCTCTGTACTTGTTGCCCTGGACCGGGCCGTCCAGAAATTTTATGTATGCGTACATTCTGAAATAGGTTAAAAAAAATGTCAAACCTTTCGCCAAATGTTTTAATAAATCATCACAAGTGCACTATGTCAATAATTATGTTGAAAATGAACTCTATTTCTTTACCTTTTACTAAAAAAAGAAAATATATACTGATTACAAGAACAAACACTACATACACGCGCAGAAAAATCTGATGCAATGCAATAGCTTAGTGTAAGTCCCGCACACGAAACAAATTCATGCGACACTATTCACAGTAGTATAGTGGATTGATTGCATTTCAATTCACTTGCCATAAAAGTCGATTAAAATACATGACAATTATTGTCATTAAAGTTCATTCAATTAGAAGTTATAAAAACCTGTAAAATCGGGTTGATTTGAACCACAATATGTAGCAATATAGTCGATAAAAAAGCATTTCGGATTAAAATGTGTTAAAGTACATTTAATATTTGTATAAAACTTCGCGATAGACATCGATTAAATTTGATTACAAAGAGTGTGTCTAAAAGTCGATTACAATATTTGACAATCATTGGCATTAAAGTCGATAAAACAGTGATTGCGATTGAAATGCATTAAAGTCTATTAAATATTTGTATAAAACATCCCGATAGAAATCGATTGTATTTGATTACAAAAGTGTGTCTAAAAGTCGATTAAAATATTTGACAATCATTGGCATTAAAGTCGATAAAACAGTGATTGCGATTGAAATGTATTAAAATCTAGTTAATATTGTACAAAATTTCCTGATAAAATGTATTCGATTTAATTAGTAATATTAGCATAGGAGTCGACAAAATTCAATTACATTTATTAATATTAAATTCTATTAAACTATCAAAGGATTAAAGTCGATAAGGTTCGATTAATTCTTACTGTAAATTTTCGTACTAAAAGACATTAAAAATCTTTGTCATCTAAAGTCAATTCATATCGATTAAAATTAATACTCATTAGTGATATTGAAGACGATAAACAAGAAAAACGATTGAAATCGATTAAATTTTAAGCGACATTTTTGGAAACATCGATTAAATTGATCAAAGTATATTAAAGTCGATTAATTTTCAGTTCACTTTTATCGACTTTAATCCCATATTTCCAGCAGGGTGGAGACAGTGTATTGACCACTTCTTTACATTTTCGGATAGGAAAATCAACTGTATATAATATTATTCCTGAAGTGTGTAATGCAATATGGGAGGTATTGCAAGAGACATATCTTCGATATCCACAAGAAGAGAAGGAATGGCTAAAAATCGCAGATGAGTTCAATAATATGTGGGATTTTCCAAATTATATCGGGGCAATTGATGGGAAGCATTGTCGAATACAAGCTCCACCAAATTCACATAGCGCTTTTCACAATTACAAGGGTTTTTTTAGTCTTATACTAATGGCTATTGTGGATGCTCATTACCGTTTCATTTGGGTGGACATTGGAGATTACGGTAAATTTATAAAATATTAATTTATAAATTATATAATCATTACAAATAAAATTTATTTTAAAGAGAAAAGAGCTGTGAGTAATATATACATGCTATATTATAGGTTCCCTGAATGACGCTGGAATCTGGTCACATACTACAATGAAGCAAGCATTTGAAAACAATATGTTATTTATACCAGAAGTTCGTTCGTTACCTAATACAAATGATCTATTGCCATTTTCTATTGTTGGAGACGAAGGCTTTCCACTCAAAACATATTTAATGCGTCCATATGCAAAGAAAAATTTACAAAGTAACGAGCAAAAAGTGTTCAATTATCGGTTGTCAAGAGCACGTCGAGTCGTCGAAAATGCTTTTGGTATTCTTGTGGCACGATGGTGAATACTACATAAACCTATAGCTCTGAAATTAAGTACTGTGGAGAAAATAGTGCAAGCTGTAACTTGTTTGCATAATTATATTATAAGTACCAATGTACAAAATAATTTTTATTTTAATGAAAGAATGGTAGATCGAGAAGAAGCTAATGGTGAAATAGTACCAGGGAATTGGCGAAATGAAATAGAAGAAAATAGTTTTATTCATCCTTTAGGGCGAGATGGTGCCAACATTAGTACAGCTGCTGCTATGAGACAACGCGAAACTCTTGCTCGATATTTTGTCTCAGAAGAAGGAAGCATTCCATATCAATGGCAACGCATATAAATATTTTGTAGGATTAATAAAAATTACGTGTAAAGTTTTTGTAATTTCTTCCTTTATTAATAATAATATTAATTGCACATAAAACTTTATAATTTCTTAAGCTTTGTATAACTTTGTAACCACAGTTATATTGTCTTATCTCAATCTTATTAATACATATTAATTTTATCAGTCTTATTAATCTCATCAATATCAGTCTTATTAATACATAAAAAATATTTAATAAAATAATATTGTTTATAAAATATCAATTTTTTAAACGGCATACATGTAATAAGAAGTAGTACTATAAAAAGTAATATTTGTACTATTTAATTTGTACTATTTAATTGAAACTTAAAATATATATATATTTCATTAGTATTATTTAATTGAAACTAAAAATATAAAATATAAGAGCTTATCCAGACAAACTTGCATAATCACATAAACATATACATAAGAAAATTGATTGGTCCATTTCTTTATGCATTTGCTTATAGAACAATCAATTTCCTTATGCATATGTTTATGCGATTTGTAAGTTTGTCTGAAGAGGTCCTAACAGAAGCTTTAAATAACTTTAAACATAAAAAAATAAAAGAAACTTTATAAAGATAATATAACTGTATGCAAATCTTGCATCTTTTTATATCTTTTTTAAAACAAATATAGAGAACAGCATATAAAATTAAAAAAATTTCTTTATGTAAAATTAAACGATAAAACTAAAATTATTGCCTTTCCTCATATTTTTGAATAATTTGGAGAACTTCTATAAGACATTGTGTCTTATTTTTAGAAGAAATATACTTCAATCCCTCTTCTATGGCAAACATCTATGGTAACCATCTTTGAAATGCTTATCATAATGCATTTGAGATGATACTTCTTTTATAGCAGCTGATATTTCTCTACTTGTTTCTGCTAAATCGCGATCAATTTTATCATCTTTGCTCCTCCGACGTCTTGCAAATTCATCCATTTCTGGCATTATCTTTTTAAGAGGCTTTAATATTAATGGAGTTTTTAAGTTTACCGAATTGGAACTCGTACTTGTCTCCGAAAATAGGATACTAGCACTACTACTGTTAGAAAGTGTACTGGCAGGCCTATTTAAAATCTCGTTATCATCTGTCATAATTATTTCCTCATTTTCAATATTTAATGACGGTTTATTCTCTGAAAATAATTTATGCTATCAATATCAAATTTAAAAATTATACTTATTTTTGAAATTATACTTCTTTAATATATCTTAATAACCTTCAATTGATTGAACAGATCCACTGTAACTGTGATCATATAAAGAAATATTGGAAGATTGCTTGAATTTTTTTAAAGGTAAAAAAGTATTTCTTGTATTTGTTTCAAGTAATGAAGTTTGTAATTGATTCTGTTGAACAAATGATGTTTTTGTTCTGTAAATAAAATTATTAAATTAACTGTAAGAATTAAAATAAAATTATAAAATAAATATTGACAAGTAAAATACAAAATAAGTACAAATAAATATAAAACAATCCACAATAAATTAAGAAATGTTATAAAAACTAAAGACTTACTTTCTGTGAGCTACATGAGGAGTTAAAAATGACATATTTTTATATAACTCCCATTCCTTTACAGGTTCATATCCAGAACCAGAAAGTGGTAATGCTTGTCGTCTTTTCTCTCTACCAAACATGTCTCTTAAAGATGACCATCGTTTTTCAACTTCTTCAGCTACAAGATATAATTTTACATTATATATATATATATATGTATTGATATTATGAATTGTAAAACATTATGAATTGTTTTTCCAAACAACATGTATGTCTTGTTGAAGATATCATGTATATATTAAAGAAACACACAAAATAACAGTAAGATAACATTAATGTTATACATTGTATTATTTTGTGTTTGCTGAGAAAACGTTTTTTAGATGTCTTTAAAATATACGTTATCAGGGTTTTTATGTTATATATATAATAATTTTAATATTTTACAAATAATAATTTAAAAAACAAAATATTTACCTGACATATTTACCCCATATACATTTTGCAAAGTTTCGGAAATTTTTTTCCACACATCCTTCTTTTTCCTAATATTTTTAAAATCCACATTACATTTATCATATAAACAATAATTTTCACGCACAAAATCAATAATTATTTCGTCTAAATTTGTATGTTCCATGATAAAAATGAAGAAAAATAAAGAGGTTAAAATAGAGGTTATATTATATTTGCATCCAGTCGTAAGGCCTATCGGAAGTCGGAAGCCGGAAAAGATGAGAGTTGACCACAAAGCTGCCAGATCTCCGCCGCAAGCAACATGCAACACGGCGTGGAGGGGGTAATGAGGATGTGAGCGTAAGCGTACGTGTGAGCTCGGCGCTTCGGCTAGCTTCGGATAGTAGAAGAGGACAGAATACAGTCTTCTGTCTCCTTCCTACCGAAAGACGGGCAATACGCGACACGTCACGCTCCTCGATATTTCGATATGCGCTCAATGTTTCTTTTACAGCATTTTTATATAATGTGTTTAGAATATGTATCTGTATATATATATGTATACACATACATATTATAAACATATTATAAAGAATATTTAAATAATTATATTTGTATTATATATATATATATATATATATATATATATAATATTTAATATATTTATAATATATATATATATATATAATATTTAATATATTTATAATATATATATATATATATATATATATGTGTATATATATATATATTTATAAATATATTTATAATGTATATATATATATATATATATTTATATATATATATATATACCGTACAAATATAAATATGTACTAATTATATTACAAAAATATATTATAAAACTATTTAGTTTTTTATAATAATTTAACACTTGTTTTCTCTCTCTCTCTCTCTCTCTCTCTATATATATATATATATATATATATATATATATATATATACATTTCAAATAATAAAATAAAAAAATTTAATGAGAGTGGCGATTTTCCACACCATCCACGGGGTATCACCAATGGCGCGTTAGATTTTTTTATGTGGATCTTCGCCTAAAGCCCTATTATACCACATTGCATTATTTTATCATTTACAAGTATGATGTCTGTTACACAGACAAGATGATTTTAATATTTTTACTTTCCACAAATATGATGTCTGTTACACAGACAAGATGATTTTAATACTTTTACTTTACACAAATATGATGTCTGTTACACAGACAAGATGATTTTAATACTTTTACTTTCCACAAATATGATGTCTGTTACACAGACAAGATGATTTTAATACTTTTACTTTCCACAAATATGATGTCTGTTATATAGACAAGAATATTCTTAATACTCCTACTTTTTACAAATATGATATTTGTAACAGACGAGATGTTTTTCACGTATTTATCTTTTACAAGCGTAATGTTTGTAATAAATTTATTATTTATGAGATGAGGGGCCAGCTATGTCAATGGTATCTGCAGCATGTAATCTTACTTTTATTTTTTTTAGCAACGGTAGCATATAACTTATCTGCTGATATAAGAGACAAATGCTTTTCATCAATTTTCATTTTGATAGCTGTCTCGCCTCTCGTTTTAATGCAGATTTAAATACACAAATAGCATTAACAGTAGCTGACGAAAAACTATTACGTTTTTTTGTTTTTAAATTATTTAAAAGAGAAAACATTCTCTCTGAATCGGCATTTGAATTTGGAAGAGATCGAATAGTACTTATAATATTTGTTAAATTGGAATATTTAGCGAGATTGTTGTCTCGATTTTGTGAAATTTTTTTCCACATGCTGTCGAAATTTAATTTAGAAAAGTTTTGTTTTTCTTCTATTGTAAAATCTGATGGTAAGGCTATCCATTCCTTCTTTAAATCATTTTCATCAAAACCGCCGATAGTTTTAGCTATAAAAGAAACATCATTGAATGATGTTTCTCTATTGTTATCAAATAAACTTATATATGGTCGAAAAACTTGTAACTTTGATAAAAATATATTATTTAGAGGTAATCTTTTACGAATTTCTTCTGCAGCAGTCACATAAAATAATAAACAATTCTCTCGAACAATTGTAACTATGTTTATGTGACCTTTCAGCGTTAATTCGTTTAGATATTCCTCACATTCTGATCCCAAAATAATTTCATTAATAGGTTTTTGATTTTCTTTTAATGAAAATATAATATTTGAAGAAAATGGTTTTAAATATTCTTCTTTTATAAAATTTCGACAGATTTGGAAAAGAAAGTTTAAAGATTTTGGATATAATAAATGAATCCTTGTTTCTAATGCTTGAAAAAATGCATTAAATGCATTAAAAAAATTCAAAACATATTTTAAAAATAGAAAATAAGCTTTTATCTCTACGTTGTCCATCATAGACAAGAGATATTCTCCAGAATTTGTTTTTTCGCTCACAACCATTTCAGTAAGAAAGTATTTAATTGTATCCCAAGATTCAAGAAGTCTTTCGATACATAAATAATGCGAAAGCCAGCGCGTATCACATAATTTCAATATTTTGCGATTTGTTTCTTGGAAACATTCACAAAATTCACGAAAAATAGCCGTACGTTTTGGACTGCTATTGAGATAAGTAGCAATTTTTTTTAGAAATTCTTCGCAATATGCAGGCATTTTAGAACATGCAGCGTGCGCTGCTAATGCGGAGGAATGACATGGGCATGAAAACGTTAATAAATGTGGACATATTTCTTCTAATTTTTTTTTAAACGATAAATGTTTTCCTGTCATAACAGATGCATTGTCACATGATAAAGCTACGATATTTAAAAATGGAATCTGTAATTTCCACATTTCACATTTAAATGCCTCAAACAACTTTTCTGCACTTGAATCTTTGGCATCAATATCAATTAATTTAACTAATTGTGAGCGAATATCTAATGTCTCTGGATCAACGTATCGAACAAGAAAAGTCATCCATTTATCATTAGTTATATCAGATGTTTCGTCAATAAAAATTGAAAATTTTGTATTCTGAATTTTATTGACGACACGATCTGTTTCAACTGGGCATAAAACATTTGTAATAATGCTTTTACATTTTGTTCGGCCCATACTCATGCTTTTTAACACATTAGGGTCTTTTCCAATATGTTGAAAAAAGTTGAGAATTTCTTTTGCAGTTTGATGCGAAATATTTTTATCAGCAATTAATGCAGCATATCGAATTTCTGCTATTTTTTTTCGCTCTTCAAACGACAAAAGTGAATCATCTGTTATGTTTATATTTTCGTTTGTATTCTTTGTTTCTGTTTTAATTTTACATATTTCTATATGCGCTTTGGATTCTGCGTGACGATAAATTTTCGATAAATCATCTCTCATTGATTTATCACAAAATGAACAAAAAAATAAATTTTCATCATGTGATACTTTGCGTAACCATGGCTTAAATAATTCTATTTCTAGCCATTGTTCTTGAAATTTATATTCTTCGGATATTTTTTTATCTGAATTTTTATTATTATTTTCACACACATTATTAGTATTTAAAGTTAAATTATTTTCTTTAATATTATTTTTATGACACGCAGAATCCGCATGTCTTAAAATATGTGTATTGCACGAAAAATTTTTATTGCATATACTACAATAATAAAGACTATCGTCGGATGGTACTTTGCGTATCCAAGATTTATATCGATCATCATTGAGCCAAGCATCTGAAAAGCTTCGCTTAAATTTTTTTTTCAATTCATCACTCATTTTTGTGAAACAAAAAATAGACAGAAACAAAGAATTAAAGAAGCTAAAGATGAAAAATGATATATATATATATATATATATATATATATATATATATATATATATACAGGGTCTACCAAAAGTGTGGAAACCCCTAAATATCTCGGAAAATATACGTTTTACAGAAAAGTGTTTCCAACAAAAGTTGTAGGGTTTAAGAAGATCTATATACTGATTCTATCAGTTTGACCTTGGATGGCGTCGTCAAGGTCAGGTCAAGGTCACATTGACTTTTTTAAATGACACCCCCTACATTTGATTGCATATTCTTATAGCTTAATTCAAGAGCTTTCCAAAACACTATAATAATGTTCATTTTTATTAAGTACTTTGCGAGTTATGAGGGTTGAATGATAGAGTAGCGCCGGTATTAACATTATCCAAGGTGTACTACATGGAGGTTACTCGTTCGGATTTGCATCTGTTGTGTGTGTGATCCAGCTAACTAAGGCAAGATCGATTCCTCAACATATCCTCATATTTCGCTGAAGTCAAATTGCCAAAAAATTGCTCCATAAAACGTGTATGAAACGTCTCGTTAGTTCCTTCATTTACCGCTATGTGACGCACTACATGCAGTCTAACTCGCATTTAAAATTCAACTAAGAATGTATAAAGCTATCAAAGAACGAGCACCTTCTAACTTCAGCTTTGAGCAAGCAGAAATTAATTGTTATCGTCCAAATACAACGTACGATTAATTAAAATTAAACGTTTTAAAAATGGCTGGCGACTTGTCGGAACGTGAAAGAATCACTATCCTCATGATGCGTGGATGGGGTGATAACGAAAGATCGTTCTCTGATGTCGTTCGATTATTTAATGACACGTATCCGAACCGTCGAATTAATAAGTCCACTGTGTTAAAAACAATAGAACGTTTTAGACAAACTGGTAGCGTAAGAAATCGCTCTAAGTCAGGAAGACCATTGTCTGCAACCAACGAAGAAAAACAACTTGATGTTCTGCAGACATTTATTGAAGATCCCAATTCTAGTGTTCAGAGAGTCGCTCAAACTCACGATATTGCTCCCATGTCGGTTTGGAGAATTTTAAAGAAGAACAAGTTCCATCCATATAAATTGCAATACGTTCAAGAATTGCAAAACGGAGATGAGGAGCGTCGTATACATTTCTGTGAAAGAATGATGGCACTAATAGATGTCCGGCCCATCTTCCCTTATCAAATTGTTTTCACAGACGAGGCAACTTTTACCTTAACGGGAGAAGTTAATAATCAAAATTTTCGTTTCTGGTCAGATGAGAATCCGAATTGGGTGCGGGAAACTCACACACAACATCCACAAAAAATAAATGTATGGTGCGGAATAATAGATGGCTATTTAATAGGGCCGTTTTTTTTTGAAGAATATTTGAACGCTCAAAGGTATGAGAGATTACTTGTTGATCAAATAATTCCAGCCATACAGAATACTTTTCCAAATAATTTCCAAGAAATATGGTTTCAGCATGATGGAGCTCCTGCTCATTTTGGTGCAGGACCACGTCGTATTTTAAATGAGACTTTTCCGCTACGGTGGATAGGAAGAAGGAACGGAAATGAGGGAGGAGAGGATTGGCCACCTCGGTCACCAGATCTAACTCCTCTTGATTATTATCTATGGGGATATCTGAAGAGTAAGGTTTACAGAACAAAACCTAAAACCATTCACGAATTGATACAGCGAATAAGGGA